TTTTTGTTCGCTGTGATCAACGTTACACGTTCCATATAAATCTTGATTTTCCTTAAACTTTTCTAATTTTGGTAAAAACCTAAATTTTATTTTGTCACATTTTATATCCAATAAAATCAAACTTCCACCATGCTAATAATAACGTAATTCAATATTAATATTACAAAGGCTCCTAGTACTATTTTATTATTATTAAATAAAGGCTCCAGACTTTAATTCTCCATTCTTTTGAGTTTATATCCAAATTTTCCACCATGCTTGCAAGTGAATGTTAGTATTAATTTCAATTAATTTTCTATGTACATAATAAATATTGTTAAACTTAAATTATTGTCTTTAAATGATTTATTAACAGCATTTCCAATTTTCCAGATTATTTGTTGATATATTTTATCATAATCTAACTTATTCACAATGTGTATTTCTAGCTTCTTTTTTAATTTTTTTACGTTCTGATTTGCTTGATATAATTCAAGTTTGATATTGCAAGTGTGCAATCCGAGTTTTCTAAGTTTAATGCTCAACACACAGCCTACCTGCTGACTTACAGTCAAAGATTAATAATAAAAATTACTTTTATTTTCCTGGATAAAAGGATCCCTAGGTTTTACATAAATAATTATATCCAAAGGTGTCCCCTTGAGATGTATCTGAATAATTAAAAGGGTTCCCAATTAATAATTAAAGGTTGACCAGACCATTAATCATTAGAAGGGCTGAGGGTTCCATCACACTGGGTTTATTAGTTACTTACAGTCAAAGACTATTCTATGTAAGGTTATATATTTATTAAGAGTTATTATTATGTTGTTGTTATCAAGGTTTGTTATCAACAATATTAACAATTGATTAATTAATGTTTATTATTAACTTGTTCTAAATAAATATTTACATAGATGAGTAGGTTAATAAATATAGGGAATTGTTATCCGCACCCCCATTTTTGTTATTCGCACCTCTCCCGTGACTAAGTGTAGTAATGTGACCAATAAATGGCTTTAAAATGTGATGATTTTATTGGTTCATCTTTGTCTTAGTCACGGGAGGGGTGCGAATAACAATTCTGTAAATATAAATATAGAAATATGAATAGGAATAATCTTTCATGTGACACTGCACAATGTGTGGCATAGCCGTTACAATTGATATAGAAAGATGGTCGTTGGTCGTGATGTAATATTTCGCGCATCACATGACTTCCGTAGTAAATTCGTTCTAATTGGTCAATATTAACCGGGTAATTGATAGGTCCAAGATTTACTATCAAAAGAGCTCAAGAACTTTTAAATGATAAAAGGTAATCCATTAGAGAATGTAGATACCACTTTCTCTACTATTCTATGAAAAATAATGCTGAAATTCCATATTATCAACAGTAAGAAAATAAAATAATATTTATTCTTTTATTATTATAAATATTTATGTTTGAAGATTATTGTAATTTTTACACAATAGGTGGTAATAAAGATAGCTATAATCTTGTCATGATTACAAATAACAAAAACATCCTGCTAATGATGATGTTGATGAAGAAAATGTTAATAATAATAATGCTGAACAAAAACACAGTAATAAAATTTTAACTTTTAATTTTGAAATTTGTTTTACAAATTATTTATTTTATTAATAAAATTTATATATGGTAAATAGTTAAAAAAAAAAAAGAAAGAAGGTGTTGTTAAATCTAGTATAAAGATTAGATCTAAATCAAAAAAATAAGTGTAAGAAATTTACACAATAGGTGGTAATAAAGATAGCTATAATCATGATTACAAATAACAGAAAACATCCTGCTAATGATGATGTTGATGAAGAAAATAATAATAATAATAACACTGAACAAAAACAGTAATAAGATTTTAATTTTTAATTTGAAATTTGTTTTTTACAAAATATTTATTTTATTAATAAAATTTATATATGGTAAATAGTTAAAAAGAAAGAAGGTGTTGTTAAATCTAGTATAAAGTCTAGATCTAAAATAAGTGTAAGAAATTAGGTAGATTATTTATTTTTAATTATGAATTTGAACAACTATACTGATTATATTCACTTCTACTAAAATATTTAAAATATTGTTAGCAAATTCATATTTTTTTATTGGATTTTTTTTTTCAAGCAAATTGAGGGTTTTTGGTTATTGTATTTTTTTACATACATATTAATATGCACATACATATGTATGTTTGCATATATTATCATAAATAAAATCAATTAAAGTTGCTAAAATTATAATTAAAATAAGATACATTATTCAATAAATTCAACTAGTGATAATTAGTAATTCATGTTCCATTTTTTAGATTAATAGATAATCAAATAAATTTATTCTTTTGTTAAGATTGAATAGTTGGGATCTGTACCTTTAAGAGTTTTAGCCATAATATGTATGATGTACTTCCATTGCATTCAATTGATATGGATCATCATAAATAAAAACAGTTTGATTTTGTTGAAAGAACAATTTATAATTATTTATATAAATGTTTCAAATGCTGAATAAATAAATTTTTATTACATATAAAACATAAGAAATTAGAAAAATTCCAAGTAATGTTTATACTCTTCCAAGTAATATTGAGAAATAGGCAGCTTTTACTAAGTAAATGAAACATTACTAAGTAGTAAGTAATTTTGGACTAGTAATAATTTGGAGTGAATAGCTTATACAAAAGAAATAATACCTTTTACTAAGGGATTAGTATCAGTTACTATGGGATTAATATGGTTTTTTGAAGAAATTAAAAGTTCTTACTAAATTATTTTGTTTGAAATT